ACTCATCTCTTGTAGAAAAGACTAGTGGGAATGGATGAATTACATTTTCAAAATATTACAAAGTGGCCCTATTTATTTTACGTCTTTGAAAGTTTAGTGTATTGACAGGACCACTGCATTTGTAGAAAGAAAGGTATCTTTCCTTGTATTTCTAGTAAGAGCCATGGTGGCACAGTGGTTTGAATGCAGTGTTGCAGGCTGACTCTGCTCATTGCCAGGAGTTCGATCCTGACTGGCTCAAGGTTGACTCAGCCTTCCATCCTTCCAAGGTCAGTAAAATGAGGACCCAGATTGTTGGGGGCAATATGCTGATTCTGTAAACCACTTTGAGAGGGCTGTAAAGCACTATGAAGCGGTATATAAGTCTAACTGCTATTGCTAGTTCCTTGAATGACCTGGTAAGAACACAACATTGTGCAACTACAAGACTCCCTAAGAAAGCACAGGGAAATGAGGCTTGACTTTTCACAAAGCCCAGGATATTTTAAGCATCAAGATGTTTAAAGGGAAAGGGGGCGGGATGAAAGATTTCTTGATCAGCTTCTGAAGTTTCAAAAATAAGTGCCATCACTATCTGATCTAGCCAATATTTCTATTTTTTTAAATTTGAAAAATTGCTGTATTCTTACAACAGGTAAGTTCTTATAACAACATATAAATGCAAACTTCACTTGAAGTCACTTGACCACACGTGAGTAACTCTATCAAAACAAGAACAATTTAAAAAGAAGGAATACTCCTTTCAAAGTGAAGGATTAATGTTAATATTGTTAATCTTTAATAAACTTTGTTGACCTCTCTGCCTGCCACTAACTCAACAATTTCCTAGATGTGGATCATGATAGACTACAGAAACAGTTGTTGGATATTTATTTCTTTAATTTATTTATTTATTAAATTTGTTTGCTGCTCATCTCACCACAAGGCAACTCTGGATGGCTTATAACCTTAAAACATATATTTGAATGTACTGATTATTTACATATGCCTAAGCAATTTTTAAACTTTAATTGCTCAGTTGTATGTCAGGTTTAAGTATTTCTAAATGTTTCCCCTAATCTAGTTGCCTTTCAAATTAAAAACCCCAGATTTCCCCATCTGTATGACCAAGGATACAAAGCTGCTGACAAATGTAGTGAAATTTGATTTTTCTGGCTATGGTTATCAGGGTAACAGAAAAGTCAAACTTTCCCCTACATTTAAAGATGGATTATAATGATAATTTAACTATAATTCTATTAGATCCCTGGATGAGATAATCACTATTACAGGTAGTCCTAACTTAACCATCACAACTGGGACCGGCAATTCAATCATCAAGCAAAGCGGTCACTAAGTGAAACCACAACAGTGTTAATTTACTTCAGCTTTCTTTTGCTTTACAGATCTATCAAGGTCATAGATGGGAGGATTAGTAACAAAATTATTTTTCATCACTGTTATAACTTTAAATGGTTACTCTACGAAGCAGTCACTATAAAGGAGGACTACTTGTACATACAATCTCAAAACCATTTTTCTGAATTAAATTTAGCTTTTGTCCCATAGACTACTGCTGTTTCATACAATACGCTAAGCCATTATTGAGTTAACCATAATTTATTGAATAAAGAATTGACTGGGTTCATGTCACGTAAGTCAAAACAATACCAGATACAACATGGTCTAGTGCAAGGGTGAGTAATATATAAGAGGACAGGCTTACAGCTTGTATCTCTGAGAGAGCCATAAAATGCTATCTGATGATATTACCACATTATTAGAAGGAGCCAGGATTGGGGGGAAAATACAAAATTATTTTTTCTAAGACTTGTAGTTGAGAATTGGAACAGAAGATCTCAAATCACATCCATTTGAATCTTTAAAAAAAAATCAATATTGCCACTATGTCAGCAATATATTATCTATATTCCTGGAACCAAAACAAACACTTAAATAGAATAATAGCAAAAGAAATAAGGAGAAAGACATTTTTCTTTTATGTAAAGAATATTTTAAGGAATAGAGCCCATTTTGCTATGATTAAAGGGAGAAAAACCCAAGACACTTTGTTGATAACATTACAAATTAATACAGAATATCAACCAATAGACAGCCATTTTGTCCTTTTCATAGGAAAACAAATGTGCATAAATCCATTATCATATATAAAGATTTTACAGGGGATATGGAAGATATAGGATAGGATAATACCCAATGATGTTTCTGTCTTAAGTCCTTTATTTTTTAAAATTCTTCCTGTCAGTCTTTATATGTACAAGTAATACATTATCTTACTAGCTGTAAGTTCAAAACAAAAAATTATTCCATTCTTTAATAACTCTTCACTGCACTCTTCCTTTTACCACGTATCAATTAAACAAATTCTACCATGTTAATTCTGCCATAGTAATTACACTGTTGTCAGATGGCTTTTAATGTAAATCACCTACCCTATAGTTTTTTTGCATAGTTCATTTGTAATCCAATACTGTGACACCCAGCATCTTCATTTCTGTAAAAAAATAGGAATGGACTGTCCCTTTTAGATGGAACAAAACCATGCTTTCTGTAGCATACTGAAGATTGAACTCTAAAAAGCAGATGGGAGAAGACCAAAACTGTTTTAATTCAAATGCAATTGAAATATATTATTTAAAGAGTTAATAGTGAATGCTTAACTGTGTATTTCAGAATTTTTCTACTATTGCATTAAAAAGTACAGGTTTTAGCAATAGGCCTCTGGAACCAACATTCAAGCCATAGACTGTGTACCTGTGTGTTTCAAAAAAAAGTACACTAAAAGTGTGAAAAACTTCCTGCCAGAGTATTTGGTAGACAAGCAATTGCTCTGGTTTGCTCACCTTATTCACTCAGCATGGTAAGACAGCGTGATTTGTTTTATCACTATACACAAATGCAATCATTTTTTATTTATCCAGCAAGCCACTGTTAAACAAAGGTTTAAGATGCCGTATATACTGTAGATTGTAACATTTCAAAGCAGCCCAGAGAGTTACAGATGGAAGCAAAGCCATTAAAGTTTTTTTTCCTTTTTCTTACTAAACATTTGCAAACCATTTTCTCTTTGCTCAGATTAGCAGCAAAATCCAAGGAAAGGGAACCTATGGCCTGATTTATTCCATATGGTGAATTATGATTTTTTTTGAGCTTTGAAGCAGTACATCCAGTTAATTATGCTGTCTTCTGTCAACCCTACCCTAAAAATCCAGAGTTTAGCCCAGTTTATGAAACAGACCAAGGATCATTGTGTTCTAAAAGCACATCAGCAGACTTTTAACAACAAAATGTATTTTATGTATAGATGTAACATGGTTTTGTAACTTTTGGGGTTTCAATTTAAGAACTAATTTAGGAAAATTCCATTTAAGAGCAGAACCTTAGCCTGAAAAAGTTCTATTCTTGAGCAATATTTTTGTATAACTAGAAATCTTCCCTTGAACAAGTGCTATTTAAGCCCACGGTACATGATGATGATAATGATCATGATGATAAATCTAGATTGTTTGAGTCTAAAATCTACCTAGAACTTCTGGTGGAGTCTGCAACAACAACTGCCAAGAATTCTGTTTTTTTCCTATACGTAATGTCATACTCTTCTCATTATCCAATTGAAAATTTCATTTTTACTGACCTTCATAGGTAATTTTCCTGAAGATCCCTCTCTCCCTAGTCAAACTATGAACATTATAAACTTTCTAAACAGAGAGATGATTACTTGAAAAAAGATATTCTCCCTATCAGGAAAAAATGATGGGTCCGTTCAAGTAGCCTTTTGAAGAAAACAAAAGCTGTACATCAGGACATCAAATCTTTCTATAATGTGAGATTGAAAAATGTGCCATGGAATGCATTATCATACACTACCTGGAATTACTGTATATGTTTTGCTTTGCAAATCTACCTTGATGCCAATCACCATCAAGGAAGGCATTCAAATCTTGAGGTGGACTATTCAACTTTGCCCAGCTACTTCTTACATTTATGCTTTTCTTTTCTTTTTGTGCACACACACATATGTGCAGAGAAGACCATCAAAAGCAAGTCACTACTGGTTTTCTTTCTGAGTCACAACAAAGGGATGTATTTATTGGATTTGTGAAGCTACCTAATCATCAAATGATGGAAAGATGCTTCACTTGAACATCCCTTTGAGACTTTGCGCAGGTATATCATACACTTGCAGTTAGCTCTACAGATTAGCCTTAAAACTATCTTAATCAATAAGACTAAACATACCCATCCCTGCTATGAGCCACTTGTGCAAAATTGGGAGCCCTTTCCAGAAAGGAGATCTCTTGCACTAGCATTATTAGATTCCTTTAGGGACAGAATCTGCTGAAGCAGTATGAGGAATAAACTTCTAAGCTTCTGTAAAGTGAAGGAGAAAAAAGCAGAGCGGAGAGCAGAGAGCAGTAATAAGAGCAGAGCTACTCTAGCTAGAAGACAAGAGGACATGAGATGCAGCTTTAGAAGAAGTTGCTCTTCTGAAGTGCTTGAAGAAAAGAATTTGATGATGATCATGTGGAGGTTGGGGGAGTAATCCAACATCTTGAAACAAAACTATGCTACAGAAGCCAATTTAAGACTGGGATTGCCGCTCAGCAATAAAAAAAAAACCAAGCAGCCATTGCTAAAGTATATCTAATCAGTTTTGACCTTAGATTATTTAGGTAATTCAAGTATTGAAACCAGGTAGATGATAGAATAGAACCATAAATATCCTTGCAGTGGGAGAGGGGGTAATATAGCCATACAATTGACATGCCACCCCTTTTTAACGCATAAAATAGAGTAGCGTTTCAGTCACACACTTTTTTGCTCCTCCTGCATGGACAACCCTAGCAGGTTTGGTTTTTTCCAATGAAGAAGATCCTTAGCTTAAATATTAGGAACTTTTCTTTACTTCTGTTAGCCGTCTATAACACATCACAGCACTTTATATGTGAGGATGAGTGGGATTTTGGCAAGTGTAGTTAGCTGATTGCTTCCCTCTTCAATCAGCTGGGGACCCATCTAAACTTGTAGCCCCCAGTGGCTGTTCTAACAGTAAAAGCATTGCCTTGTGGAAAGGCCAGTGTCCTAACGTTACAGTGCTCTTTGATGGACGTCTTGAAGGACACCCCTTCCTCAAATTCACTACCACTTAAGTCCAGGGAACTCTGACTGCTGCATGTCTGCAGTCCATGGAAAGATCCATACATGTGGATGGCTTCGTTCTCTCCACGAGGACGCTTCGGGCCTCTGTCGTCATCAATGGACTGCAGGGCTGCATTGCATTTTTCCGATATTTCCCTTAAGATTTCATTCACTTCCATGTCCTCTTCATGCTCAGGAACTGACATCTGCTCAAGGCTTCTCTTGCCAGGGCCACAGCTGAGGGAAAGGTCAGCGCTGTCTTTGCTCTGAGGGAGCATCAATTTCTGCCAACAATCAAAAGCAGAAATGTTGGAAGACATTAGCTGCACATCATTCTTGTTATTTTACACACACCCCCAACAGACTATATTGCTAAAATCCCTCATACACTAAAAACAAGTGGAAAATAATTTATTTGGGTACATAGTCACATTTGAATTTTTGTGGGAAAACTCATAAAATGGCTGCCTTGGGTGAGGGCTTGTCATTCACAAAATCAGCACATCGAGACAGAAAGCACCCATGATTCATTCTATACCTTCCCTATCCAATTAATCTTGTTTACTAGGCACAACACATAATCACAAACCAAACAGTGGGCCATAACCATCCACCATTTGGTTTCTTTAAGAAGATCTGTAGAGCAAATCAAAATGATGCTGGAGTATGGTGCCTCTGAAATAGACCAGATCAGGAAACAGACAGGATTATAGGGATGATATTTTATTGTTGTAGGATAGAATATATAATCATGAAAGTCTACAAGAAACTTCATTCATTCATTTTCTATTTATACAGCTGCCCATCTCACATATGACCCTTTGCTCATCTTATTCCAAATGGAATCAAGACGGATTTAACTTGAATTTCTATCTCATGTTTTCCCCTTTCCTAGTACTATATTGCTGTTTTTCCTCCCTTAATGCCTCTCTATGCATTCCTGGACAATTTATTTATTTATTTTCATTTCTATAGCTGCCTGTCTCAGGTAAGTGACTCTGGGTGTCGTGTAGTCATAAAAGCAATTTAAAATACAGTATAGTATAAAAAGAAATACATATGATGGTCAAGGAAAACGATCATAGGTGTCCATATAGTCAGGAAACAGGACCCTTCAAATACTTGGGGTCCCAGACCTGAGCAGTTAACCAGATCTTCAAGGCTTACAAAAAGCCAATAGGGTCAGAGTCATCCTAACTTCTAAAGGCAGGATCCTCCTGAGGCAGGACTTATGGCAGAGAAAGGATGTCTTCTAGTCCCTGCCAGGTGACATTCTCCAGAGCTGCTTTGTTTTGTAACATATCAGTTTCTAATTTTTTAAATTAAAACAGACTAAACAAAAATAAAGTCAGGAAGCCAGACAGACATCAAAGAAAATGTGTGCAATCGCATTGGGTGCCCTGTGATATCACAAGGCCTACCTCTGAAATTTAACTTTACTGTAACATGTCATAATTAATCTCTGATTTTATGCTTGGAGAATATACCAGGGTTAAACCAAGAGCTTTTTCATATGTTAGGTGAAAAGAAGAAGTCATTTTGACCATAAAAATAACTTTGCTTTATGACAGTATGACCACCTAAGTGAGGGGTGTCAAATTGCCGGCCCGCGGGCCAGATGCGTCATGGCGAAACCGTGCCCACCCCATTGCCGGCAATGGGAAAAAAGTCACGATACATCATGACACATCACATGACATTGTGAGTTTGACACCCTTGACCTAAGTCAGGGGTAGGCAACCTTGGCTCTTTTATGACTTGTGGACTTCAGCTCCCAGAATTCCTAAGGCAGCCATGCTGAGGGAAAAGGGAGAGTTTCCAAGCTGAGCCATGCTGGCTCAGGAATTCTGGGAGTTGAAGTCCATGAGTCATAAAAGAGCCAAGGTTGCCTACCCCTGACCTAAGTGGTACAGAAGTGACCTCCTGAGAGAGACACTTCAGCACTTACATCTAGCACAGAAGCGAGCTGTTTGGCTTGGCTGGCTAGCTCTTTCAGCTGGATATTTCTTTCCTTCAGAGAAGCAATTTCTTCTTGCTTTTGGGTCAATGTCTCTTGAAGCTGTTGGGAATGAATATGATCAGGTAGGAATCACGAGCACAGACTATCTTATAAAACAAAGGTTGCCAACAACCAAACGTCCTTTCCCTCCCCTCCCCCCAAAAACTTTATCTTGCTAAAGTGGTTCATTGCTTAATTTTAATGAATGGCAGTTAAATTCTAGCTTTTTAACCTACATTTTGAAACTGCATATTAAAAGATTAGACCACAACATACAAATCAAAGAAATACTGAAACTGATTTTCAGTAGAAATAAATTTAAAAAGGCATCGTTTTTAAAAATGCTATAGACAAATGCAGCTAAAACCTATGCATTTTATTTTCTTAGTAACTGTTTGCTTTGTTTTTGGTGCCTTTGAGTCAGTGTTGACTCCTGGCAACTGCATTTTTTTTTTGCAAGATTTCAAAGTGGTTTGCCATTGCTTTCTTCTAAGGACTGAAAGAGAATGGCTGGCCCAAGGAAGGTCACTAAACTGGCTTTAAGGTGAGACTATGTCTCTCAGCTTCTAGCCCAGGGGTAGGCAACCCTGGCTCTTTTATGACTCGCGGACTTCAACTCCCAGAATTCCTGAGCCAGCCTGGTTCAGGAATTCTGGGAGTTGAAGTCCACGAGTCATAAAAGAGCCCAGGTTGCCTACCCCTGTTCTAGCCTGATGCTTAACCACTACATCAGAGTGACTCTCTTCCTATTAATTACAGTACAGCTTCCATATTTGGGCTACAAAAATCTGCACACCACTAAATAGCAGTAACAAGATAGGGAAAATACTTTGCTTCCATCTAGGAGATGCCTGGATTTGCTTCATCTCAGTATGATGGCTCCAGGGCTTTTTTTCTCATAGAACGCCTAGAACGGAGTTCCGGCACCTTTTTTGGATGGAACCTTGTAGGGTAGGCAAGGCGGGTTGTATGACGTGTGTGAGTTCCGGCACCTTTTTTTTTTTTTTTTTTTTTTAAGCACTGGTATAATTTTCCTCTTGCTGCAGTGTTCGGTGCTTTGTATCAATACATTACTGTTTGAATGGCTTGCTGGTAAGTAAATGCCTAGCCTACTTTTCATAGCCATTCACTCTTCATACCTGATTATTTTCTACAAGCGCATCCCCCAGCGCTTTTTGATTATGATCTGCCAGTTCTTTCCAGTACTGTTCAGTGGGCGAGACACTCTCTAGGCTCAGATGAGAGACCGGATCAATTTGTGCAGGTTTCTGGAGGCAGGGACTGGGGGGGCTTCCATTATCCACAGGGAAAGAAAAATCCAGCAGAGGAGCCATCAAAGGGGAAGTATCTGGAGAAGAATAGGAGTAAAATTATATAGTTGGTTGACTCCATTTATCTTGCTGGCATGTGCACAATTTAGCTGGGGAGCAATTAAGGCTAAATTAAGCACAGAGCAACTAACTCAGAAGTAATGTTGGTGAATCTCAAAAAGCAGCATCAGATTGCAGACGGTTTTTCCAGAGGTTTGAACTGTTGTCTTGCATATGAGCATTGAAATTAAGCTACAGGTTATTCAGCTATAGTATTATTAAGCAACTATCCCATTTGGCTTTGTATAATATTTTTTCAGTTTAAATTCCTTCACTGAAAAAGAATCAATACAGATAGTCCTCAATTTGCGACTACAATTGAGTCCAAAATTTCCATTGCTAAGCAAGAATTAAGTTCTTGCCACAGTTGTTAAGTGAATCACTGCAGTTATTAAGTTAGCAACAAGGTTGTTAATTGAATCTGGCTTCTCCATTGAGTTCGCTTGTCAAAAGGTCACAAAAGGTGATCACATGACCCTTGGACACTGCAACCGTCATAAATACACGCCTGTTGCCAAGCATCTGAATTCTAATCACATGACCATGGAGATTCTGCAATGGTAGTAAGTATGAACAACCATCATAAATCACCTTTTTCAGTGCCATTGTAACTTTGAATTATCACTAAACGAATGATTGTAAGTTGAGGATTATTTGTAGACATGAGTGTCTGCAGAAGGGGTAACAAACAAGCAAAAAGTTGGCAGCCACAACTGTGTGCCCAATCCCCAACCCTACCCCTTTTATATGTGCTGCACATGAAATTCACCTAAAACAGGGCTTTGATCACATGGCTGCAGCCACCTTTTTTTTTTCTCACAGCCCTGCTAGCAGAACTTGATTTTTACCCACAGTGGAGTCAAGAGCAGTTGGAAGGACAAATAGATTATAGGGGGAAAGATTATCCTAAACATTTCAGGGGTTTGCCACTAGAGGGCATCAGATTAGGAAAGCTTAATTTAAAGCAAGTTTCCCTAAACTTAAAAGGATTTTTTTTCCCATGAATTTGATTGGAACCACAGAAATACCAAAAGTGGAGTGAGAGATCGCCATTGATTAAAAAAAAATATCATACCTTGCCCTGAAACAGGCAAAAATCTACAAGTAGCCACCCATTTACAGGCCTCTAGTTTTTTACTTTTAGTCTAGAGTAATTTTAATACAAAAACCACCTAATATAAAGTAAAGCTGTAGTACTTGGTTAATAAGAATTTTGAAGCAATTTAGAGTATTTAATTAAATGCTCCTCCATATTTTGGCACAATGATTTTTGTATGTAAAGAAGATGAGCTCAAAAAATATCAGTGCAAATGAAGCGTGTATATGACGGATATTATTTTTCAAAATAAATTTTTTTTCATTTATTTTAAGGAAATGTCATTTAATGAGATGGCTACATTGTTTACAATATCTATTCTTTCTCCTAGCCTTTTAATAATAATATTAATGTTATACTTGTGGGATGTTCTTTTTAATATTGTCATTTTATGTTTTTTATTGTTGCCATCCAGAATCATATTTTGTAAATGGGCGGCCATATACATATGGTAAATAAAAATAAATAAGCAAGGGCACATAGAATGCAAGTGTCTTACACCCAAGTAGACATTCATGACATATGCATGCATGATCAATCTTCTATATCAATAAATATGTAAATGTTCGTTTGTTCAAAATCTTAACTCTCCGAAAGTTCTTCACCGATTGCTTTGAAATTTTGACACAACGTTGCATTCGAATACGCGCGTGTTTTTATATACCTACTATTATATAGATCACACCTGTGACACAAATGGGCGCTTTCTCCTTTCTTTCTTTTCCATTTAACCAGACTGAGCCACAGCAACGCGTGGCTGGGTACAGCTAGTGACTGAAATAAATTCTTGAATCAAGTGGTAGGCAGCCCATTGCAGAAATCCACAGAAGCATTTCATTTCCTATATGAAATGTCAATTAAACTCTCTGCATACTTGCCAGATAAGAAATTATCCACGGCATCTCGAAACTCCTGGAAATCAAAGTCATCTTCGGGTTGCAAGGAAGGGCTCTGGAAAGTATAAAAGAAATGAGCCAATTAGGGAAACTTTTCTCCCAGAAACACCTTCTGACGTCTTCTTTCCACGCTCAAAATACATCTTCACGCGCACCTGCAAATCCACTGGCCACCCCAGACAGCGAAGGGAACAAGCTCGCACTGACATGCTGGAGGGGAAAACAAAGGGCGGCTGATGTTGGACTTGTCACGGCCGTTAAGGGCAAGTGCTATTGAGGTATTCGCTGCGATACACCGGTTTTCTTTTGGGAGGAAAAAAAAAACAGACGCGAGAAAGTTGAATCCACCGCCCCTGCGGATTTTACGCACAGGCGGCCCCTGCACAGGAGATGCTTCTCCCTACGTGCCACATCGTGATCTAATTGGCTAGACGCGCGAGCCAATCACATTCTTCCAAGCTGGGCATTCTTCTCATGCTGGAGGGAAGCGAACCTGCGCGAGCTTCCCTTTCCAGTAGCCCTGGTTGGCTGACTAGATTGTGCCCGGTGGGTCACGTGGACACCGCCCTTGGTACCTATTGCGCCAAGCTGAGCTGCCACTTTATAAAGTTGCATCTTATATAAAATAAAATGGAAAATTAGCAAATTGGCGACTTATCATCTGCCCTACGGATCCTCCCCACCGTCATATTGTCTAATCTGATTAATTCTGGTTGTGGTGAAGGTGCAAAGTACCAATTTCTTCTCGTCTAAGATTGCAATCCAATCCATACACTACTTTTCCCCATCGAGTAAAACCTGAGGATTCACTTCCTTTAACTTCTGAAAAGCGTAAATATTTATGGCAGATTATTTGCAAAGTTCAACAATACATTGCAGGGTGCAGCTATTTCAAAGGAAACTCAGTAGAGTGGATCTAAATCTAAATCTCAGAAAAGTGTATAGACAATTGCAGTCCAAATTAACTGCTATAGTCTCACACAGACATATACACACTTACATTATTATGGTTTGTCTGTGATTTATTGAATAATCCATGATTGTCTAGTTTGTACTTCAGGTGTTTAAGCTGTAGTTGGTTAGTATAATATCTGAAGCCATAAATTCTAGTTTTTAAACCATGATGGCTGGTCACATAACATACAAAAGTCAAAATCAAGCAATCCACATTATGATTTAGCCCGTTATGTATCCATGTAATAAAATGATAGTAGTAAAGTGTAACATCTTCCATTCAGTTTTCTAAAAACATTTCCCCACCCCCAAAGTGTGCATGCTGATCCTTGGGCTGATCCTTTAAAACAGGCACTGTAACAAAACGCCAACAAGCAATGGAAGTTTTCTGCAGTATCCCCTCGTCATAACTATGGAAAATTCTCTGCACCTGTACTGAAGCATCCACAGTTCTTATTTTTAGAAATTACTATCTGAAATTCCAAAACTTATGTGACATCCTAAATCAATCTGGATTTGTTCTACTTTCCATTTTTAACAACTCTCCACTTGTCTGGAAAGAAAGGCTATTTTGTGCATTAGTAGCAAGAATAAGATTTTTTTTTAAAAAAATGTGTGGTCTCCTTTGATCCAATCTTAACTCCAGATTTCTTGGGTAGTGCCTGTAGCTTTCTCAGCAGTACCATGGGAATGGTTTCCCAGCGCATTTTTCTGGTATGTTTCTCAACATCCAAAGATCACCTATGGCGCTGGACTCTTCTGATGGTCTCTCATCCAAATCTTATCTAGATAGACCCCCCATCACTAACCAGATCAAACTCCGCTTAGTTTTTGGAAACAGCCAATGTCGGCTATCTGCTGCCACCTGGCGGATTGCTAAGGATGAGATCCAGGTTTCTAAATAAATCTGTGTTGGTTAATGGGAGGCCGCTTTCCCTAGTGCAGGGGTAGGCAACCTTGGCTCTTTTATGACTCGTGGACTTCAACTCCCAGAATTCCTGAGCCAGCATGGCTGGCTCAGGAATTCTGGGAGTTGAAGTCCACGAGTCATAAAAGAGCCAAGGTTGCCTACCCCTGCCCTAGTGGGAATGAATACCAAGCACTTGAGTGTTTGGCGTTCTGCAAGGCACCGGGACCACTTCTATCCCAATGCAGAGATCCCAACGAGGGAAGTATCCTCACTCTAATGTAGCTAAAATAGCCGGTATAAACGCGCGATTCAAGTCGCGCCTGTTTAAAAGCGCCGGTGGGCGAGGACTATCGATTTACCTGATGAAGAGCGGCGTCCGTAGAAGCTTCCCGCTGAAAGACTGAGGTGCAATCCGCTAAATCTTGCCAATCGATGGTAGCAAAAGCTAAAGGGAAACCACAGACCAATCATAGGAAACCAACTTTAAAGACTGACAGACGTGTACGGGAGGCAGCGTGCAGGGAAAGCTAGGCTTGCGTTTGGTGACTCGAGGGGTTTTGTTTTGTTTTGTTTTGTTTTGCTATTGTAGTAGACGATTAAAGCGTCTGTCTTCCAGATCGTTTATTCCTGAATAATTATCAGCCTCAAAAGTTGGGTTTTTAAAAAAAAACCAAAACAAGATACAGGTGGTGAAAGGGGCAACCGTGAGGAATGTGTTAATAAAAAAAGTGACTTAGAAGGTCGTTAATATAAACGTGTGTCTGTCTGTGAGCGTACAGTGCCTGAACTTATCTTCTAGCTGGAAATGAAGATTGCAAACCGAACTCACCCGCCTCTACTGAGTCCGGAGATGGGTCGTTATGAATAATTATGGGGCAGCTTCTGGGATGCAGGATCTTCCGTGGCACCTGCGGGCAAACAGTTGCAAACAAAAATGTTAATCTTTTTCAGGCAGCCTGGGCATATCTCTCAGCCTCAGGCAACTCAGGGCCCCTTACTTCTTAGGTTGGGCTGCCTGATCCCTGCGCAACAAAGCTTTACTTTTGATCGAGTTTGTATTGTGCAAGGAGATCTTTATCCTCTTTTTAAACTACACATACACGGACACAGAGACACAGACACACACATATATATACCTATATGATATAGGTATATATCTCCTGTGCTTTCTGTATATTTTACTTATACCATATAGACATAGAGATGATGTATGTAAGCACAGAAAGCAGAGGAGCTTGAATTTCTCCCTTTGACCGTTTCCTCCAATATCAGAGCACTGGCCAAGGCAAGGAGCTTTGCACATGCCCAGAGATGCTCGCTCCCTTATTAGTGCCCATCTTCGAGGGATTGAATGAGAAATCCAAGTTTTCTCTGGTCCAGACCGTGTCTTTGGTTTAACCACTGGGCGACGCTGTCTCCCGTCCTAGAGGGAGCGAGGGAGCGAGCAGCCGTTTCTCCGGTTCGCGAGGTCTGTCTCCAGCAACGCACCTTTCTCTCTACTTTGCACGGCTTTTTGCCCAACCTGCCGGCCAAATCTTGCACCCTGTTGGGACAGAGGCTGCCACAGGCTTGCCTGCCGCCGCCGCCGCCGCCGCCGCCGCGGCCGGCTCCACTGTCGCGCTTTTGCATCGGGACTCGCCGCCCGACTCGCCGCCCAGAACGCGTCGACTGATCGGTTGGCTGGAGCGGTCTGGCCGCGGTTGGGGAGCCTGGCCTTCTCTCTTGGGAAGAGGAGAGCCGAGGGGAGGCGGGCCGGCTGCGGTTTGAGCGCCAGAGGTGGCGCCTTTACCTTGGCACACACCCGCATGGCAACAAGCGGAGCCCAGCCTCATCCCGCCGTCCCTCCTCTTCCAGGCCTTTCCCCGCTCCGCCCGGAGATTAGGCTCGATCGCCGCCGCTGCGGCTCGGAGCAGACGTACGAAATTGCGCCCTTTCTCTGCCTCTTGGCGCCCCGGCCAACCGACCAGCGCGGCTGAGAGTCCTTTGTCTTAACTCACCGCAGCCCGATGAAAGACAATCCGACACCTAGGCTCTCCATGTGTCCGTGCCCCTGAACATAGGCAGAGAGCATTTTATTTAGCTCCCTGGCCAACAGCCCCCCCCCCCCGGTCCTGCTCCTATTCCCTTGGAAAGCAATCTCAAGGGTTTAATTAGATGCCCATGTTAAGTGTTCAGATTATGCCAATTTTAAAGGCAAGTTAAAAGTTACGAAAGTTTACTGCTGGAGGGTAAAAGCCTCCAGGACACCTTTTAGCTACACCACACACTTACACACTTACTTACTTACTTACTTACTTACTTACTTACTTACTTACTTACTTACTTACTTACTTACTTACTTAACTTTTTGATTTGATTTGTGTGCAGCCCATCTTGCCTAATCTTGGCCATGCCTGACCCAAGGAAACTCCAATCACAAAAGCAAAGAATCACTTGAGCCTTTCAGACAAGTTTGACCCTTTGGATCAGTGGTTCTCAACCTTTTTAATGCCGCGACCCCCAACCGGCCGTAAGTCGAGGACTAAACCAGTCATAAGTCGAGGACTAAAACGGTCAAAAGTCGAGGACTACCCAACCGGTCGTAAGTCGAGGACTTTCCCTGCCCGGGAGCGCTGCGCATGCGTGGTTCCGCCCCCTGCGCCGGCCGAGGCGTAGCTGGCAAGCGGCAGAGATGGAGCAGGCCGACCACTAGCTGGCCCAGCCCAAGGGAGGTAAGGCACCTGCCGGAAAAGGGGGAAAAAAATGGCGGACAGCCTTGCTTGGCGACCCCCGTGAAATGGTCGATCGACCCCAAATGGGGTCCCGACCCACAGGTTGAGAACCACTGCTTTGGATGAAACTGATAGGAAGTTGGCAGAATTGCAATCAAAACCATTAGAAATCCCCTCGAGAAATTCTTTACAGAATCCAAAAAGATAAAACTGGCCAAAAGGTGGCAGCCATTCAGGCAAACTTTCTTTCAGGATACCAGAGATCACGCCTATTGATAGAGAAAAGATCCCTTCCTTTATTAAGCAGGAAGCCAATTTATTCAATGATTTGAGTGGAAAGACCAACAAACTCAGCAGGGTACCTAACCACCAAGTACCCCCTATTGACCATCCATCTAATTGCAGTTTATGGTAGTTCCTAGAGCAGGGGTGTCAAACTCAATTTCATTGAGGGCCGTATCAGCATTGCGGTTGCCCTGGGGCTGCGGGTGGGGGGGGCTACTGGGTGGGTGTGGATGGAGTGGGTGTGGCCTGCTGGGTGGGCGTGGCCAGCTCTACATGGTTCACGTCAAGGGTGCCTGTGGGGGCCTGGGCAGGAGTGGGACAGATCTGAGGGTCTCTGGCCGTAGGGGGTGGGACCAGGGCAAGAGCCAAGGCATGGTCCATTTTTTCATTCCTCATAAAGGGTGACACCTCCCCAGCATGCACCAGGGGGCGGGGCCAACACAGCAGGGGCTGGTTCCTCGCTGTTTCTAGATGGCCTTGTGGAGCTAAGACTGAATGCCTTTCAGCATAGATGGCCACCACAAAATTGTACATTGGCTCCCGGACGGCCTGGGCCAGGGCCAAGGCAGAGGGGGCCGTTCCCTCACTGTTTCCAGGATGGCTTCGCGGGCCACATGAAATCACTTCGCGGGCCGCATCCGGCCTCCGGGCCTTGTGTTTGACATGTCTGTCCTAGAGAGTGGGCTCTATTTCTGGAAGGAGTAAAGGGGGAGGTTTTTCTATCAAGGTAACTACCTTGGGCCTGTAACTCGGTAGCCTACCTTTCAATTGCTGTACTGCACATTATGGTGTCAAAATAAATTCTGCCTGTGCTCCAAGTAACTTCCCTGAGTGGTCTAGATTTGAACTCGGGACTTGCTTCTAACCAGCATAACTGGGCCTCTGTTAGGGATATACAAATATTCCAACTCTTAATAAGAATAGATGGCTTACTCAGCAGAATGAAATGATGGGATCTTGCCTGCCTTCAGACAGCAAGAAGAAAGGATAACGTTTTGAAATGCTTTCCCCTCCCCTATTTAAAAACAAAATCTCTCTCTATAGAAAACTAGCATGTTTGGCAAAATATTGTTTTGGAATCTCTTTCCCTGATGTGCTAGCTTTTTTTCTTTTGTTTTCTTTCAACAGCCATATGCACTGTATGAAAATGGCATATCTCATTCCTAGTTTGATGTGCTACAATTCATTTCTTTGTCTCTTAGGAATTGTTATACCAGTGGTGGCGAACCTATGGCACGTGTGCCAGAGGCGGCACTCGGAGCCCTTTCTGTGGGCACGCGCACCATCACCCCAGCCCCGCCTCCCCCTGCGGCCCCCTCCTCTCCAGCAGCCCCCCTGGAGGAGAGTCGCCCCCAGGCACGGCCTGCACGGAGCAGCACAGCCAAGGATATAGCCAGGCAGCAGGGACAAGACTCCACCCTCGTGTTCTATAGCGTGCAGATGATGCTGCGGGGTATGGGCGGAGGGCGTAGCTGCCATGGTGCTGCAGGGCTGCCTGGGTGATCTGCTATGGCGGGCCATTGAGACAATGCATGGCCTGTGGGCGGGCGGAGCAGGGGCGGGCAGGGGTGGAGCAGACAAGGCGGGAGGTGGAGCGGGGGCGGGGGCAGGTTTGGGGTACTCGGTCTCTAAAAGGTTCGCCATCACTGTGTTATACAGTAAGGATCCTGTAATGGCACTGCGGAAAACCATTATATTTTGAGGAATTTAGAGACATTTTTTTATTTAGAAAACTAAAAGTTTAGAATTCATTCTGAGCTATGCTTAATCTGCATGTTTTTTACTCTTTCTTGATAATTAAGGAAAGGGGGGATCTTCACACAACTGGCTTACCTGCATATAAGTCCTTGAAATTACAATGGACCTACCTCGGGATACTTGCAACCTGGATTTGAAGTTCTGACAGCCAGACACACCCCCCCCTTGTGGTCTGGACACTCAGCAACTGGCCCACACTTACAGTATTTGCAGCATCCCGTGGTCACATGACCACATTTCACAACAATTTTATTGCAAACCAGCATTTACTCCTGATTTTCAGCAAAATCAGGCCTAAAGCAAACCATTTAACAACTGAGGTGTTTGCTTTACAACCTCATTGGTCACTTAATTACCATCACTAAAAAGGTTGTAAAATCAGATCAATTTACAACCATCACAACTTAGGACCATGACTGGCAGGCTCCATTATGGTCATAAGTCAAGGACTACTTGTAGTTCTCAGAACTTTTGTTTTCTCTCCCAGAGTTAAGCACCATTCATCAAAGTCAGGTCATAGAAGCAAGGATTTTAAAATTTTACTATTGGCCTTTGAGCTTTGGTACAAGTGTGCATCCTGGCCTTTTTGGGATCTCTCCACTGTTGTTATTGGGACTCCTTATGGTTGAAGGAAGAGAACCTTGCTTGGTATGTTATGCTTTTATGTTTCTGTTTACATTTGCCTACTAAGGTTATTAATGAAGCTGAAAATTTCCTTACCTACTGGGGTGCTCATTGTACTGGATTCTCATTGACTGGCATGTGGCCACTCCTATTACCATACCATACCATGGCCTCTGAAAGTACGGTAGCCTAGTAAGTTTTCTTTGTGGTGGACCTCATGCTAATGAAAAAATTCAGAAATTTGGAAAGCATTTATTATAGCATCTTTCAGTTTGTTGAAAACTCATCTCTTCTTCCCGGCATGAATATTGAAATAATTTTTTTCATTCTCTGTGTTTTATTGATTTTTTTTAACCATCTTAACGGTATTATTTTATTGTTTTGTTTTTCTGTATTGCTTTGGAATACAGGAAAGAGGGCACATTTATAAACTATTTTTATGGATTATTCTGAAAAAGAAAAGGTGATTTATTAGCATAGATTTATTAGCATAGTGTTATCATAGTGTTGAACTTAAGGGGGACAGAAAAAATGCAATGCTATTTTAAACATCAGCAATCTTAANGGGGGGGGGGGGCTACTGGGTGGGTGTGGATGGAGTGGGTGTGGCCTACTGGGTGGGCATGGCCAGATCTACATCGTTCGCATCAAGGGGGCTTGTGGGGGCCTGGGCAGGAGTGGGACAGATCTGAGGGTCTCTGGCAGAAGGGGGTGGGACCGGGACAAGTGCCAAGGCATGGTCCATTTCTTCATTCCTCATAAAGGGTGTCACCTCCCCAGCATGCACCCAGGGGGTGGGGCCAACACAGCAGGGGCTGGTTCCTCGCTGTTTCTAGATGGCCTTGTGGAGCTAAGACTGAATGTGTTTCAGCATAGATGGCCACCACAAAATTGTACATTGGCTCCTGGCCGGCCTGGGCCAAGGCCAAGGCAGCGGGGCCCGTTCCCTCACTGTTTCCAGGATGGCTTCGCGGGCCACATGAAACCACTTCGCGGGCCACATCTGGCCCCCGGGCCTTGTGTTTGACATGTCTGTCCTAGAGGGTGGGCTCTATTTCTGGAAGGAGTAACTACCTATCAAGGTAACTACCTTGGGCCTGTAACTCGGTAGCCTACCTTTCAATTGCTGTACTGCACATTATGGTGTCAAAATAAATTCTGCCTGTGCTCCAAGTAACTTCCCTGAGTGGGCTAGATTTGAACTCGGGACTTGCTTCTAACCAGCATAACTGGGCCTCTGTTAGGGATATACAAATATTCCAACTCTTAATAAGAATAGATGGCTTACTCAGCAGAATGAAATGACAGGATCTTGCCTGCCTTCAGACAGCAAGAAGGGAGGATAACGTTTTAAAATGCTTTCCCCTCCCCTATTTAAAAACAAAATCTCTTTCTATAGAAAACTAGCATGTTTGGCAAAATATTGTTTTGGAATCTCTTTCCCTGATGTGCTAGCTTTTTTTCTTTTGTTTTCTTTCAACAGCCATATCCACTGTATGAAAATGGCATATCTCATTCCTAGTTTGATGTGCTACAGTTCATTTCTTTGTCTCTTAGGAATTGTTATACCAGTGGTGGCGAACCTATGGCACGTGTGCCAGAGGCGGCACTTGGAGCCCTCTCTGTGGGCACATGCCCCATTGCCCCAGCCCTGCCTCCCCCTGCGGCCCCCTCCTCTCCAGCAGCCCCCCTGGAGGAGAGTCGCCCCCAGGCGCGGCCTGCACGGAGCAGCACAGCCAAGGACATAGCCAGGCAGCAGGGACAAGACTCCACCCTCGCGCTCTAGAGCGTGCAGATGATGCTGCGGGGTGTGGGCGGAGGGCGTAGCTGCCATGGTGCTGCAGGGCTGCCTGGGTGATCTGCTATGGCGTGCCATTGAGGCAGTGCATGGCCTGTGGGCGGGCGGAGCAGGGGCGGGCAGGGGCGGAGCAGACAAGGCGGGAGGTGGAGCGGGGGCGGGGGCAGGTTTGGGGTACTCGGTCTCTAAAAGGTTCGCCATCACTGTGTTATACAGTAAGGATCCTGTAATGGCACTGCGGAAAACCATTATATTTTGAGGAATTTAGAGACATTTTTTTATTTAGAAAACTAAAAGTTTAGAATTCATTCTGAGCTATGCTTAATATGCTTGTTTTTCACTCTTTCTTGATAATTAAGGAAAGGGGGGATCTTCACACAACTGGCTTACCTGCATATAAGTCCTTGAAATTACAATGGACCTACCTCGGGATACTTGCAACCTGGATTTGAAGTTCTGACAGCCAGACCCCCCCTTGTGGTCTGGACACTCAGCAACTGGCCCACACTTACAGTATTTGCAGCATCCCGTGGTCACATGACCACATTTCACAACAATTTTATTGCAAACCAGCATTTACTTCTGATTTTCAGCAAAATCAGGCCTATAGCAAACCATTTAACAACTGAGGTGTTTGCTTTACAACCTCATTGGTCACTTAATTACCATCACTAAAAAGGTTGTAAAATCAGATCAATTTACAACCATCACAACTTAGGACCATGACTGGCAGGCTCCATTATGGTCATAAGTCAAGGACTACTTGTAGTTCTCAGAACTTTTGTTTTCTCTCCCAGAGTTAAGCACCATTCATCAAAGTCAGGTCATAGAAGCAAGGATTTTAAAATCCTACTATTGGCCTTTGAGCTTTGGTACAAGTGTGCATCCTGGCCTTTTTGGATCTCTCCACTGTTGTTATTGGGACTCCTTATGGTTGAAGGAAGAGAACCTTGCTTGGTATGTTATGCTTTTATGTTTCTGTTTACATTTGCCTACTAAGGTTATTAATGAAGCTGAAAATTTCCTTACCTACTGGGGTGCTCATTGTACTGGATTCTCATTGACTGGCATGTGGCCACTCCTATTACCATACCATACCATGGCCTCTGAAAGTACGGTAGCCTAGTAAGTTTTCTTTGTGGTGGACCTCATGCTAATGAAAAAATTCAGAAATTTGGAAAGCATTTATTATAGCATCTTTCAGTTTGTTGAAAACTCATCTCTTCTTCCCGGCATGAATATTGAAATAATTTTTTTCATTCTCTGTGTTTTATTGATTTTTTTTTACCATCTTAACAGTATTATTTTATTGTTTTGTTTTTCTGTATTGCTTTGGAATACAGGAAAGAGGGCACATTTATAAACTATTTTTATGGATTATTCTGAAAAAGAAAAGGTGATTTATTAGCATAGATTTATTAGCATAGTGTTATCATAGTGTTGAACTTAAGGGGGACAGAAAAAATGCAATGCTATTTTAAACATCAGCAATCTTAAAGGAGAGAAATGCAGTGCTTTCTTTCGTATGTCCTCAATCACTGTCACTCTTGTTTTACCAGAGCATTGGAAGGTGGCATGGGTGAAAAGTAGAGCTAAGAAATTGTTGGGGCTTGTCTGTGTACAGCAGAAAGGGTATCACAAAAGGAGGGAGTGGTAGATGAACACACCCACCCACACCACTTTATGATGTTTTACAGCACTTTCTAAGAGATAGCTCCCTTTCCATAAGTTATAAAGATAAAGGTTTCCCCTGTCCACTTGTGTCCAATTCTATGGGACGGGGCTCATCTCCGTTTCCTAGCCGAGGGAGACAGTGTTGTCTGAAGACACTTTCCGTGGTCATGTGGCCGGCATGACTATATGCTAAAATGCACAGAATGTTGTTACCTCCCACTGAAGTGGTACCTATTTATCAACTCGCATTTGCACGCTTTTGAACTGCTAAGTGGGCAGGTGCTGGGGCAAGTAATGGGAGCTCACCCTGTTGCAGAGGTCAGGTCTTTAACTTGGGCTGCGATTTTTCAGCTGACAAGCCCACCGTCTTAACCGCTGAGCCATCAAGCCCTTTTATAAGTCATAGTTAGATCCTGAAGCTGCAGTTTCAAACATTACTGATTAAAGGGGAATCTATTTAAGACTTATTTATATATGTAGGACTGCGGACAATATTATGAAATTGCTTCTTTTCTAAGTGCTTCTTGGATAAATTTATCTTTTTCATAAGTGGAGACAGAAAACAATATAACAAATCACAATTAATGATAAAAGCTTTATTAGATAAACATCTTTACAATTTTGTTCTCCTTCCTATGGCTTCAAACTGAACTATCATTTTAATAAATAAAGTACCAGGCATAATATACATTGTTTACAACTCTAAGCTATTACTTAAAATGATGTCAGTGCAATATATGTCTAGTGTGCAAAATAGAATCTGAAATTATCTGTAAAATATTAAAGAATCTGCTCTTTGATTCTTATGGCTAAATCAATACCACAGCTTCTACTAATAAATATAAATACAGTATTAGAGATTATTGAGTAAATATTCAAAGTGAATACTGTTATTTCAGAGGTATTGCAACTATCAGTGATCCTTTTATTTAGGAACTGGAACAAAACAGAAAACATAAACTTCCGAATGCATGGTTCACAAATTTCAAATAGTTTTTGTTGGGTTAACTTATTTTTCTAAGTGCAGACACTGATCTGAAATTTCAGGAGGTAGTACCAAAGGCAAAGAGCCCTCATTTAAAGAGACCAGTAAATGTAACTTGTCCAAGCAGTCTTGCAAAACTCCCTCTGGATAGTCACTTAAGTGCAAGTCCAGCGGTTTCTGGTGCCGCAACATCTGATCAGCCAGCCCCAAGCAACAGACAGCCAACAAGGAAGGCATGTATTTATTAAAGGCATAGTCAGCCAAGCTAAGTTCAGCCACACCTTTTGCTAGAGCTTTGGCATTGTTGGCTTCCCAAGCATCAGCTTCACATGCTTCCATTCGCACATGGGTGAAGTGTTCAAGAAAAAAACTGATGGTAGGAGCTGACAGATTGAATTGAAGCTTGTTGAGAATGATGCATTCCAGATTGCAGAGCTGCTGGCGAGAGAAAGTATCACAACAAAGGGCCAGGAGCTGTTTCACCTTTGGTGGGTGCACTTCAACCTGTAAAACACACAAGCATAGAAAGCAATATGCAGGAACTTAGGCAGAAGATAATATCTTGGGGTGCTTCCAGTACTGAATGTTGTTTTTTCCAATGGTTATTATTTTTTGTCACTCTTAATGTCCTTAGCATCAGATATTCTTTTTTTAATTATATTCATTAGCTGGAAAATCAAAAGATATAATAAACTTATTCAGATTAATGTAAATTTAAATGCTTAATCTTGGCTGTAATGGTCTTTTTTAAGATATTGTTTTCTGGAGCTGCAGCACACATCTCCACATAGAGGGAGATTTGATTGGGAAATTATAAACATGGGAATTTAGATATTAAAATGTTAACATGGTAGGAAAGCTCTTGGTCTGTTCCTTATCTTTTTCCTGTGACCTATCAGAAGCCTTCGGAAGGAATCTAATTGATTATTTTCCTCTTTGAAGATGCTCTCTATGCTCAATCTTATATTTTTAGGGGGGAAAATCTCCTGACTTTGTTTAGATTTTTTTTTTTTTAGAAAATAGCTCCTGACTTTGGAGAGGTTTCTGAAGAGTGGACTGCAGATGGCTTCAAGGCCAAAGAAAAGACGAGAAATTTCTGTAATGAACTTTCACAATTCATGTCAAGCTCCAAAACCAAGATGTCTATCCTGTGAAATATGATTTCCTACAATGAGGATGAAGATATTATGTTCTTTAACAGTAGGTTGAGGTCAATAGAACATCACTTGTTTGGCTGTTGTTTTTTAAATGAATTTAGGAAACTGAACAAAGGGACTGATGATTCAGGAGGGAATAGAGCAGTTTGTGATACAGTCCAACATAAAATTGCTTTTTGTGAACATAATTTCAATATTAGATGTACAAAGGAAAATCTAGTGATCAACTGAGAGAGAAGAAGAAAGGGAAGGAGAAGGAAGGAGAAGGGGAAGAGGAAGAGGAGGAGGAGGAGAATGAAATTTTTGAGACCCTAGTACCTGTTTGCAAGAGATGAAGAGTGAGGTGACCCCAAGGAGTTGAAAGCAGTCAGCAGCCACTGGGGTGGTTATGAGAAAACGGTCTAGTGTGTTTACTGTCAGGCATAAGGATTCGAAAGAAAAGCCAAAATGTTTATGCACTGGAATTAGCCAGCTGATCAGTTTGCAACGGGCATCTGTAGTTATCTGGGAAGCCAAGAAAAGAAGGTGTTAGGATGCAAAAGAGATATCATTGAAATCTACATGCAGCCATAGAATACAATGGATTAAAATGTTAGTATGGAATTATTTCAAAGACAAGGGACATTTACTTTACTGGTTACTTCTGATTTCATTAATTAAATTGCTTTCAATGTGAATAAATATGAATAATTGAAATAATGAATGCATTTGCATCCTGAATACTATTATTAGTATGCATACCAAGTGGCAAGCATACAAAGGAACAATATTATCCAAACAACTAGTTGGTTGCAGGTTAGATTGTGTTTCTATTTTGCTTTTTTTTAAAAAAGTAAATATTTTATAATACTGTGCTATTACAAGGCCATGTAGCAGATATATCAATATGGTCAAATTGGAATAATAAATATAGGATTATATACATTATAAGTGTAAACAGGAATCTATTAACAAAAGAACAAATATGAGAACAAGAAAAAACACAGTAAAACACTGAACACAGTAATTGCTATTAATTTACTAAATTATTAATTTACTGAAAATACCAATTGCAATCATATTTGATACCATATCAGTTATGTTTTTCAAACATGCTTGCAATTTATTGGGCGTTAGTTGCATTTGACTGTCATCAGTCCACATACATTGTATATGACTGGTCAGCTCCGGCCATGCTCAGCCTCCCCTTCATTGCAAAACAACCAAGATATGTCCCAAAGGTACTTTTTCAAGAGGCTAATGGACTTTCTTGGTTGTTTTTTTTTAAGAAGGTCCACTTTTCATCCAAGAAGCTTCTTCAGCTCTGATTGGATGGTGGGGAATGGAAGGATTTATATTCCTTGCAGTCAGAGCTGACAAAGCTTCTTGGATGAGAAGCGAAATGTCTTCAAAGAAAAACAGGAAAGTCGAGTTGCCTCTAGAAAAAGCAACTTTGGGTGACTTGACAGTATCCATAGACAACTAGAATATGTACATACAACAAAACACACACATATTTATACCTTTAAGTATTTTTATTTTTTAGTGAAAAAAAAGTGTTCGTTCTTCCATTCTTACTGAAAAAGCCATGTATGAAAGGTATAAAGAAAACCCAACAAAGAATGGCACATGGCATGGAGAAAAAAAAATATTTAAAGTGCTTTGTCAGTCATTCCCTACTGTTCAATAAGATCCTCCTTCATTAGGATAATTCACCAAGAAGTGTCTGAGAATTTAGAAACAAAAAGCAACAGATATCTAATTTTATTAACATCTAATATGCACATCTAATATCTCAAAGCAATGTGCCCATTGTAAAGCAGTATTATTAGAGCATAAGTGCAGCATACCGGACAACAGGCTATAATGCAAATGTGTAGTCAAAATTCCAAGAATACATGTGTATAACAATGGAAGCAATTAATAAAGCATATATCTGAGCCAAAATATGATGCACATCTGGCATTCCTCCCCACATCACATCTAAAATAAAGATCTCTTCAAGCTCAGATCCTGCCCCACCACATTGGTCAGCTCTAACCATTCAGCCCCTAATCCAAATTTTCAAATGTCCCAGAAGCAGCTCTTTTAAGAATGATTGCTTGTGCACCAAAATTTGTCTGTGTTTGGATTCCTATTTCGGTGCAGGTGCAGGTGATACACTTCAAGGTTATTCCCTAAACAAAATTGCATTCTGTGAAGGAAAGAGATGGAGCATTCAAAACAAAACCTAGCGTTTTCCTACCAGGACTGTGCCGTGTCAAAAGTCTAAGGGTGTGTATTTTTGTGTGTGCTTCTTCTGACTTGGTTCAACACGTGACTCTGAATCCTCCACCCTAGGGGAACCTGCATGTGCCTCCGGCACGGAATAAGCTTAACTTTGGAAAAGCCCTTTCGGAAAAGGGGGAAGACGAGAGCGGAGGTTCACTTTGGCCCGGGGGAAGCTCTGCCCAGGCTTTTCGTGGGCACGTGAAAAAGAAGAATCGCGACCTCCTTCTGGGCCGAAGGGCAGACCAGGCTGGACAGCGACCTGATTTCGTTTCCTCGGACCGCCCTTCTCTCCTTACTTGTGGCTGCTGCGCCAGCGGGTCAAGCGGGTGGAACTTGCCCTCCAGCTCCTTTCGGAAACGGTACCAGCTCTGCCCATAATCGCGGAAGATCTGCCGCTCCAGAGGGCGCATGGGTTCGCCGCGGCTGCGAAGCCGACCCACCGGAGGCGGCTTACTTTTCTTCACCGGCGCGCGGAGCTGGCGGCCGGCCACGGTGCCGCCGCCGCCGCCGCCCGGGGGCTCAGGCCGCTCCTCGGGGGTCACGTCCTCGTGCCGCTGCCGCTTGAGCGGAGGGTCTGGCCGCCCGCCGGGGAGGGTCTGGCTAATCCGTGTGATGACCATCCTGCGGCTCCGCGCTCCTGGCTGCCTCTCCGGGCAGCGCCGAGGCGAGAGGCGCGGGGTCGGCTATATGTTCGGCAGCGCTGCCCCGCCCCTGCGCCCGCCCGCCCGCCCGCCGGGGAGGCATTCTTCCGTCGCCTCGCCGGCTTTCCCGGCTAAAGAACCGCTCTCGCAAGGCGCCCTGGGGTTTCCGAGCGGCAGGAGCAGGTCTCTCGGTCTCGGCGCGCGGGCGTTGGCTCCCTACCTCGCCCTGGGAGGCGACACTTGGCCTTCTGAGGGGGCGCCTGCCATTTTATCTGCCGTCGAGACGGTCGAAGGACCTAGAGATGAGCGCTCCAGTCTCTTGAAAACTTTGGAGGTGTTTGTTTTTTTTTGAAGGCCCTCTTTTGCTTTAGAGTCCCCTGCCTTTACGTCTCTAGCCTGATTCAAAAGCCCTTGTTTTCTAGAAGCCGGCGGGCAGAATGTGTTCCTCCAGTGCGAACAAGAGAGCTGGGAGGCGGTGAAGAAAGGCGCCATCTTCCTCCTTCGCCAATCTAACTGTCGAGCCAAAGCGGGCCTACTGTTGTTGGATGGCTTAGCTAGAACGATTATTAAACCCAGATTGACGACCACCTACACATACATACACCTTGTATGAATTACTATAAAGCTGACATGTTGAGCATATTAACCCTTTACACTAAGTCACGGCCTTTTGTGCCATTCCTTCTTGAACAAACAGCTGCTAGAATGTATACCGAATACAAAATGGCCAAACTCTTTATTTTATAATCAAAGCTTGAATTTACACATTGCTAAGTCAAACCTAAAAACACAATAGTTTAGAAGAAGGAGTGAAGCTAAGACAATTCTGTTTGGGGACTTATCTCTGATTTCTGTTATCAGCCTGGATTCTCTAGTTGTACAAAATAGAAATACGGTAAGCCTACCATCTAAGAGGACACCAGGTTAGGGAGAATGGATTTTTTATTGGAAGTTTGTATCTTGAAAAGAGTATATGAAATGGTTAGATTAATAAAATAGCTTAAGGCTGCCTAAAAGAACAAAATTAGAATGGCTGCTAAAATGCTTTTTAAAAAAATACAAGGAACTTAAAACTATAAATGGCAGTCAAAAAAATCCTTCTTGTAAATCAATACATGTTTCAACACATACAGTACCGGCAACTTCCTGAAACAAAGTATGTTTTGAAATCACAAACATTCATGTTAAGAACATAGGAGAAAGTTACTTAAGATGTAAAGCACTGAGCCCAACTACTACAGTTATCCTCTCCACAGTAACCAATCACCAGAGGCTTTGGGGAAGTTGGCAATAAGGCATCCGCACAACAGTATCCTCTCTAGCAGCTGACCCTGAGAAAGACACATCCTAGAGGTAACATATACGGTAGCTATAAGCCTAGCCTTATCCTTACTAGTTCTTGGATTTCTGCATTATAAATTTCCAAACTCCCTTCAATTCTTAATTTTTCTTTAAAGTCATATAAATTGTGGGCCGTCATCTCTATTTCACAATGTGCTTTATATTATAGGCTTTGGTCAGACTGTATAGCAAACTGCAGGAACAGCCTCAATTTCTCTCTGAAACCCAATTTGGTCTACTGTAAGATCAAGATGTTAAAAATCACTATATTAAAAGTGCCATATTAAGAGTATTGAATAGATATAAACCCAGATTGTACCAGAAAATCCCTTATGGGTCTCAGTACAAGAAACATTTTATAGAAGAGAAATAGCAGGCAAAGAGAGATGATTAACATATTGGGAACAGTTAGAACAAGACCATGGAGAATGCAGGATGAATTGAAGAGATCAGTTGACTGCAGAAGGACTTAGCTTTAAATGGTTTTCATATGCATAGTTTTAAGATAGATAACAGGACGTTTAAAACTGAACAGCACAAGGCAGAATCTAAAATTGAACTCTGCAAATGATGAACATATAATTGCTAAACTATATAAACTTTTGTTGAAATGTGAAGTGGAAGAATAAGTGAAAGAGTGTATGTTAAAATGGGTAAAGAACTTTGGATATAATGCACTGATGGAACAGTGGAAAAATATGTGGCCAAAAGGACTGAAATTATAACCTAAAAGAGAATTTTTATAAAATGATGTATTATTGATACCTGACTCCATAAAAATATTTATAATGTATAAAGAACTTCAGATTTGCGTTAGACTTTTTAAAAAGCCAGAATATTTTGGGTTCAAATACAGTGATACAAAGAATTTGAAAGATTGATACTCAATTGAAATCAGAACTTTTCTTCTGCGACTAATGGATGGACAATTAGAAAAGAGTTATGGGAGGTATGATAATTGCTGCAAAACTATGATATAGACAGAAATGAAAAGACTGAAACACCCATAGTGGAGGAATGGCTGGTGAAGATTATAAAATCAAACTGTCCAGAATTGCTTTGGATAGCAATATGGGCATGTAAATTAATTACTTAAATAAAATTAGCAGAGATGGCAAAATTGACTTGTCTGATAAAGGACAATAACCATATTTGTATCATCTAGATCATTTATGAAGAGCGCTGGTCTCAGTACAAAACCTTGAGGTACCCCATGCTTCTCTCCATTGAGAATTACACACTGAATGTGATCAGTTAACCGTGAATCCATTTGGTGGTAGTATCTTACTGATAAACTACGATCAGTCAAATAGCTTACTGAAATCCACAGCATTTCTCCGATCTGCTACTTTTAATAAAGTTTGTCTGATATGATGTTTTTAACAAACCCATGCTGGCTTCTAGTAATTGTCTTACTTGTTGCTAAGTGCTCCCAAATCCACCACCTGATTATCTTTTCCAGGATTTTCCCAGTATCAATGTCAAACTGATTGGTCTGTAGTTTCCTGGATCCTCCTTTTTCCTCTTGTTGAAGATTGGAACATCAGATCTTTTCCAGACCTCTGGCAGTTCCTCTAAGCTTCAGAAGCTCTGAAAGGTTCTGTTCAGTGGTTCCAAGAGAACATCTACCAGCTCCTTAACCCTGGGATGTAAACCATCTGCTCCTGATGATTTGAACCCATCTAGAGTGGATTGGTGTTCTCTTACTAGTTTCTTGCTTATTTTGATCTGCATTCCTGCTGTTTCCCAGTCTTGCTTTTGGTAGGTTGGACTATTTTTCCTTTCTGCGTGAAGACAGATACCGAGAAGGAATTAAGCAGTTCTGCTTTCTCCTTGCAGCCCATCACCTTCTTGCCATATTCTCCCATTAATGGCCTGATCATTTCCTTGCTTTTCTTCTTGTTCCTTACACATTGAACTTGTTATTTTTGGCATTTGTTGCAAGTCTTAGTTCATTCTGAGCTATAGCTTTCTTGACTTGGTTCTTGCAAATTTGGACGGTTTAGTGGTATTGTTCTAATTATCTGGCCCTCTTTTTTATATACTTGTCCTTTTTGTCTTGGTTACAGTTATCTTGCTTATAATTCTGAATTATCTTCTGTGTACCTAGTCTATCTTTTTTTTTTTCTAATTAGGTTGTCACCTTCTGCCATATCACTCTTTTGACAATTTCCCCCCAAATTCCATTTTCCTTCTCCAAGCATATGCCAAGTCATTATTCTCAGCACGTTTTTCATAAGAATAAGCAAAAATGCAATTGAAACTGAGAATGAAGATGCTGTGCCAGTGTACAGTCTTATATAATACTAATAACCAGATTTACCTTTTAGCTTTTTGAGATTTGAGAATTAGTTTTTTCCTTTAAAATTGACATCAAGGCAAGTGTAAAATCTTTGTAAGACTCATCCTTTTCAGGCATATCAACAGAACTGTAGTTTCTTTATCAGGAAAGATCAGTTGCTAAGAAATACTGAAATCTGCAAGTTGCTTACAAAAAGTACTTTAGTATTTCAAAGTCTTCAAAGACTTCTTATTTTAAGAACTGACTCAATTGTATAAAAATTCAGGATTAAGATTAACAAGAGCTCATCTAAGTAAGTGAGGCAAAAGTTTTAGTTGATGAAAAGAAAGCGTCATATTTTTATTATATAGTATTAAACAAATTTCTAAAGCCTTCTTACAGTATGTACATTTGTAATAAAACACTTTGCCCTAATTGATCTTAAATACTAAGAAAAAAGTGAAATCCTAATCTGACATCACAATTTATTAAGGATAATAACTAAATAGGAATGATTTTTATTTTTAATATTAAAATTATACTTGTATTGAAGTACATGACTTTACATTTCTTAACTAGCTTGATTCTTTCATCACTTGATAAGTTTCGGTTCATATAGGATACTATTTTTAATACATCAAATTTGATAACACCAATTATGGTTGGTGGAACACAATGTGGTGTCATTGCACACTCTTAGGTTCTTTATTTGGACTAATTTGTAGAAACTCAGCTGAGTGTAAGATATTTATTCGTCTGTTTTAGTTTTAAATTTTGTGCCTGATGCTAGAGGTATTGCAAATTTTAAAGTGAAAATAGCATTATATATGACAGAGGAAAGCAAACATGTTTTGAGTAGGAATCAAGTTGAAATTCCTATGAGATGTACGCTTACAAAAAGGCATATAAAAGGTGGTATGCATAATTTTTCTTTTTCTGTATAGTTTCTTTATATAAAGAAGAAAGTTTCTAAATATTTGAGGTGGTATGTTGCCTTTTTTAAAAAAGATGTAATATTTCTCCTAGTTTTATAATACTGAATTCAAACAGAGAATCTCAATCTATAGAAGCATGCATACTAAAAACAATCTGGGTCTTCAAGCAAATATTTGTACATCAAACATTTAGAAATACCAAAGCACATATCTTCTGGCACTACCAACCTGTATTATGTCTTTTGCAAGTAATCATTTGGGTAATGAATGAAAATAAAAAATTTCTTAGAATGACACAGATAAAATTTTGCTTAATAATTATCTAATCTATTCATGCATTTTGGCAAAGAAAGATTCTGGTTCCTCAGTTGTGTACTTTCTTTAAAAGAACAGAAATCTATGCTAAAATCTTACAACTGAAAGCATAATCAAGGTACGCTTTATGTCAAAATAAAAAAACAATTCTCATTTTTATACTGAAACCATCTCCATCGTTGCCATTATTTAAATTTGAATACCCACTGTTCAAGAGTTTTTATTATCAGTTTTACAAGGTAATCTTATTTCTTGCAGAATAATGACAGAATGTATGTGGAAGGTTCAGCATCCTAATGCTGATTGCATTGTTTTCTTTAAACAAGCACATTCTTCAGTCATATTTTTCTTCTTCCAACTTCTGTGGCTTTGAACTATCAGACAGCGTTTTCTGTTTTTATCAGTTCTTTGATGATGTTCAAAATTTTGTCATCTAGAAAAAGAACAGTGTTAAGAAAGAATAAACTTAATTTTTCTCACCACTCAAAATTATCATGGATGTATTGTCAAATGGCCAGGTGCACTGTACCTGGCAAAAGAGGCACAGAAGTCAGAAATTATAAATAAGAAAAAGTTAGCATCTCCAGTGCTGTCATGGTTAAGCTGTTTCACATAGCTTAATTAAAGAGACAAACCATAGGCTCAGTTTTTTCCCCTCTATCTCGTAGTTTCATAATCAGTGAACGCCCATTATATGGAAATGGGTATTTATTTAGAACTCGCTGCCACTGTCTTTACTACTGAATTCTCATTTACAGTTTCCAGACATTGAAAAACTTTAACTTCTCCCCCCAAAATTGAGTAAAAATAGACATCTTTTGCTAGCCTTGCCCATTTAGTGCAATGATGTGACTCACTGAAGATCTTACTAGTATAAAGTAATAATTGCATCTAATAAATAGCTATATCTATCCTACATGGTAACTTATGTGTTTTGTAGAAATTAAGCATCTGCCATATGAATACTTTTTAGCAAGAACGCAGACAGTTTTCCCACATATCTTACATATATATTCAATTTTTTCATGGCAACATAGAAACAATAAAATTACCTTCAAGGGACATTTTAGGGTTTTCAAGCTTTTGCTTTAAAACAGACTCGATGAGTGCTCTCAGTTGTTTGAAAATTACTGCAATTTTTACAGGGGCCTGTGAAAATAGGTAATGTCAAATTGCTTATTTTATTAATAATTATTAAGATTAAAACAATTTTAATGACTATGACATTAAGACAAATTTTGGAACACATTGGCCTGGTGAGATGTAATGATGCTGCTTGAAATTACGGTTAGTAATATTAGGAAGGAGTCAAGAATTTCAGTGTTAGAACTCATTCTATTTTATAACCAATATGGGATTATTCCTTGTTAAATGTGTTTCCTGTTATATCCAATTCAGATCAGTATGAGCTAATTAGTAATATTTTAACAGGAGGTACTTAAAGTCATCGTTCCACAAGTTAGATGTCACAGAAACAGCAATGTTTCAAACTGAATGGAGAAAACATTCAAACCAGTGACAAAAACATTATTTGTGCTCTCTTTTCTTTACAGAATCTGAGCAGAAGCCTAATAAGTTTGAGAACATTTATTATCAATAAATATGACAAGTACATTTTCTTTGTAATCTGCTTTCTATCAGAGTTTATCTGTCTACGGACTTTGCACACTAAATGAAAACAAAATTCAGTGATGTAACAGAATGCTTCCTAACTCACACATTAGATGTACCTGAAAATGGATCCAGCCATCAACTGATAAAAGGCGTTCACGATGCAGCACTTCTATATCTCCACCAAAAAGTAATATTGGAAAGGGGGAAATTAAGCTGGTTTCTTTCAAGAACACTCTGGCATATCTAATCTGAATGGAAAAGACAAATACAATTCATTTGATTTATCAAATTGCTGTTTTTCATGTAGCAATTATTTTTCTACCCAGGGAATTCATTTTTTATATCTATTTGAAAATATGATTATAAAAGCATTATATTCAAGGTCCTTATCAAAAATATTGTGTGTACAAGAATAAAAGTACTTTTTAAAGTATATACTTGCATAGTCTAAATGTTTTGCAAGCTTTAAATAAGTAGCATTGGTAGTTACGAAATTATGGAACTATATATCAGTTTAACAACTGCAGAACAAAGGTTTTACATAAAAATAGTATGCAAAAATGTATCTGCACATAAAGCACTTCATGATAATTCAATCTTGAAGCAAGCACTGTCTGATAGTTGATCAGGCTACTTTTATACAGAATGGTTAGATCCCACCAATCAACTGCATAAGCGAGAAAGGCTTTGCTAACTTCAGTAATGACTGAGCCTCCATTGACAATAATAATCTAGCAGAAACCCTAAAGACAGCAATCCAAGTCTCTGTAATTCCTGGATAAAAGGATCTAAATCTTATCAGGATCCATCTTTAAATAAGGGCTCCCCAAAACGCAAACATAGAAGTCCTCTTTACTTCAGTCCCCTTAAACAGAAACTCTGTAATAAGAAGTGGAGAACAGAAATTATTTTATAGTAAGCCAAACATACTTACAGCCATAAAACATGCCCACCTGAACCATATGGATAAATCCTACCTCTACATAATACTGCATTTTCATACCACTACAATAAAAAAAATCTAATTTAGCTTACTTTCTCTTGATATAGCAGCCATCCATAGGTTTGCAGATCCCTGTTTACAGAAGAAGGGTGCACCTGTGCTTTACCCTGAGCCGTCTCTGCCATGCACGCTAATTTCTCTGTAACATCCACAGACTTGGTGTACATTATCTTCCCCACATTGTCATACAGCCCTGCAGTTAGCACAGCTTTAAGGAGAACCATTTCTTGTAGTGACAAAGAGTGTATTCCTTCGTGACGAGATGAGGGTGCAGCAAACCCCGCTGTCTGAACCACTCTGATAAGTTCCTGTTTTACATCCTAAAATAGATTTATATAATTGTGTTTTATTAATATGCTTGCACTTTAGCACACTGTAACTACATATACATTTATAATCTTAATACTGCCACAAAAACCATCTATTCTATCCAGAACCTCATGATTGATATCTGTATCTCCATCTCACCTATTTGCCATTGCATCTGTAGGTAACAAAGAGAATTGATATCAGTGGTATTTAATTTTCAAATGTTTTAAACAAGCTAAAAATACAAACTACATAAAAGATTAAAAGATTTCCTGAGAGTTGGAATAATTAATCAGTGGAACGACTTGCCTCCAGAAGCTGTGGGTGCTCCAACACTGGAGGATTTTAAGGAGAGATTGGATCAACCATTTATCTGAAATGGTATAGGGTTTCCTGCTTGAGAAGGAGGTTGGACCTCCAAAGTCCCTTCCAACTGATGTTCTGTTATTAATATTCTTTATTATTAAATAGAGATTTTTGCAGATTAGAAAAAAAAGATTAAAAGGATTATAGTACCTCAAGTGTTAGTAGTGAAGTTCTGTTCAGAAAATTTATCCTACAATAAGTCATTTCAGCACGATAACCTCCTTCAGAGCGGGCTTTCTTCCATCTAGATAAAAGAAAAGAAAATCTTTTTCTTGTAATATAAGAAGTCATCACTATTAAAGATATATGGACAATATATTCAGGTTATTTGAAATAGCAATAATATATATATTCAGGTTATTTGAAATAGCAATAATATATATATATATATATATATATATATATATATATATATATATATATATATATATATATATATATATATATATATATATATATATATATATATATATATATATATATAAATAAATTATATATATATTATTGCATTATGGTGATCCCGGCTGACAAAGGGAGAGCCACAGTTGTAATGGACAAGGAACAATATGTCGGGAAGGTTTTAGATCTACTTAACGATACCACAGCATATAGGGTCATACAAGGTAACCCTATGGTGACCCATGTGAACCGGGTCAATAAAATGCTCAATACATTGAAACGCGGGAAGAGACTGGATGAAACAACCCTAAGGAAGTTACGACCCAAAGACACGGCCATGGCGAGATTTTATGGACTTCCTAAAGTCCATAAGGAGGGTGCCCCACTCCGTCCCATAGTTTCATTCAAAGGCACCCCCACGGCTTACTTAGCCAAGTGGCTCAGCAACCGTATCGGCTACTTAGNGCAATTGTCACAGCTATTTTCTCCACAACCAATTCTTCGGGACCTCAGTGCTTATCTAACCTTCTTTACATAAAATGAGGAGCCAATCCATTCCCTACAGATAAAAAGTAGACATAATATATTAATTGAGCAACAGAGAAGAGAATGCAGATACGTTAGCCCAGGATTCTCAGTCTTGGCTGACTAGGGAAGTCTGGGATTTGAACCCCACACATCTTAAAGTTCCCAAGATTAAGAAATATTGCTCTTGTCTTGTTCAGCTTTTTCCCACCAAATGGTTCCAAATCAGTGGGACTTCTACTCCCATGTCCAATAGCTGGTTGGTTCAGAATTACAGGAAGTCATCCAACACATCTAGAAGACACCGTATTGAGGAGGACTGCCCTGATTTTAGTCCTCCTTCTGCTCTATGTCAGTTTGCCATAATCCACTGCAATTAATATTAGGATAGTTTAAATACTCATTCAGTCCAATAACTTGTACTTTTCTTTGACAGAAATTACAGGTCCAGGATAAGGTCAGTCAAAGAAGCAATAAAAGACAAAAATGGACAGCATCAACCCAGGTCAGGAGCTCAGCTCCTGCTGTTTTCTGTGCCAGGAGATGGGAATCCTTTCCCTCCATGCCATTATAGAAGACACTTGTGTGCATGTATATACTATCTTCAGCATTACATTAAACATTCAGATTATACCTCAGGAGTTAGCCATTCGGACGGTTAGTGACCTACTCGAGCGTAAGGGCCTTGGACAACATCAGGACCGTTTAAGACCTCAGGACCTCGTGGACTTGTTAAGGGTTTGTCTGGTTACGTTCTTCACCTTCAACGGAACGGTGTATGAGCAGATAAAGGGTACCCCTATGGGGTCCCCAATTTCCAGCATCATAGCTGAGGCTGTCCTGCAGCAGCTTGAGGAGGTAGCCATGGCACAGTGCCGCCCAAAATTCTGGGCGCGGTATGTCGACGACACGTTCGTCGTTATTAAGAAAGATCAGGAGGAAACTTTCGCACGGGCACTCAACTCGGTGTGTGTGGACTTGCAATTCACTAAAGAGATAGAGCAACAGGGCCGTTTGGCCTTTTTGGATGTCTTAGTGCAGCGTGGACCTTATGGCACACTGAACACCAAAGTGTACCGCAAGCCCACGCACACGGATAGAGTGCTACATTTTGATAGTAACCACCCCATACCCTATAAAATCAGTTGTGTCAGGACACTCTTTAAGAGAGTTTCTACTCATTGCAGTA